TTTTAACTTTTAGTTTTTTCATTATGTGCTTTATGTATATCTAAGGGCCCTAAGTTACCCCAGAGGTAATGATCAGTGAGGTATGTTGTGCCTGCGTTATGGATTTTTGGCAGATGTGAAGCTCCACAGGAGACAGACATAAGGCAGTAAATTTAACCTCTGCTTTGTTAGTGGGTTTTTGCCCAGGTGTCTTTTTAAAAGTAGTGTATTGCCAGGGCAGAAGAAATTCTGTCTGTGGCTTTGGAAGACAGCTAACACTGTTGGAACTGTTGGCCAGCAGGCCAATTTTTTTTTTATACCCATAAATCAAGACACTCTACTTACATTGCATCAACCGGAAAAAGTCAACAAATGGATAGGGACACACTTAAATTCAAATTTTACATGGATTTGTATGCTGAGATTTCCACTTGTTCTGCTTTATGTTTGTGCTAATTTTACAAAATTGAAATTTATGTAAGACTTGGGAAGTTGGCTTGACACCACTAATAAAGTTAATTAGTTGTATATTGGAAGTTATGAGTTACTTTAATGATGCATCCTGCCTCTGCAGAGATTCATAGGTTGCATGTGTTTTATATACTGTTCTAGAAGTGTAACATTAACACATATTGGAGCTCTTGTCATTTTAAACATTTTCTTCCTCTCTGTTGGCAAAATTAACAGTATGCTATAATGGTGCCGCTGCTATGAAAATTGAAATGCACATGCAACAGATTGTGGCCCATAAAATCAGCACTAACAAGAGGCAAAACAGCAGAATGGCTCATCAAGAGATATTGCTGCTTTATAGCTGTAATGATCCTCAGTAGGATCCTGAATTGCGATCCACCATCATGACCAGTTGCAAAGTCAAAACAGCACTACAGCGATAGTTGGTATAGCAAGAAGAGAAACCTGTTTCAAAAATGTCAACAGATGGTTGTGTTATTCTTTCCCACAGTTTAAATCCTAGAGCAAAGGACACTGAGACCCTAATTTATAAGAGTCAAACCCACACTGCTAGCTAAGGTGATCTTCATCTCTGTAATATAAGTTACTATGGCTCAATTAACAATTAAATAAGTGCAGAACAGATCATTCATAATGAGTTTGGCACAGGGTTTACATAACAAGGTTTTAATTATATATATATATATATATATATATATATATATTTTATTTAGAGGATTTGTCATAAAAACTTTAAGCTGTTTAATTATAAGGTAAATTTGACATTCACAAAACATTCACTGCTGGTGAAACTTCCCCTGAAGTGCCCCCATGTGTTTTAAATGATGGTGATTAATTTGCCTACTGTGAATGGTTGGTAAAAGTCACTTTCACTGCTTTAGAAATACAGTAAGACCCTAGGTTTTTCTACAGCAACTTTTTTTTTCAATTTGTTATCCCTTGAGGAACATCTGCAAAATGTTTAGTGCTCTGTGTGTCCCCACTGGGGAGATTTGCCTGCTGTGTTTGAACTAATGACAACTGGAAGGGATTGGAAATACACAATGTTAAATTGTCTCCAGAACAGGAACAAAAAGAAAATCTTTTGGTGGGGACACTTGTTGTGATGACCAGAAGGTTTCAGTTCGGGGTGCAGAGCTTAGGCAGATGAACAAACTAAATTCCACAGAAAATCTCAGGCTGTGGAAAACATCACTAATTATTTAGTATTACTACACACCTTCCCACCTTCACCACACACCTCCAGGATGGAACAATGCCCTTTTAAAATTCTGCTTACATGGTGGGACTAGCTACAGGTAATAATGGTGTCTACTTTATGTATGTACAAAGTTAAAGATGGATATGGCCATCCAGGGGCGGACTGACAACTCATGGGGCCCCCGGGCAATAGGGGATCATGGGGCCCCTGTGTCCTTGCCCAAACTCAAAAAAGCCTATGAAAAAGGTACCAGGGGCATCTCATGGGGCCCCCTACTGACCCCCGGCCCTCGGGCAGTGCCCAAGTTTCCAAATGGTCAGTCCGTCCCTGTGGCCATCATACTCAGGGGCATACATAGAAATTTATGGGATGCTTGTCATGAGAGAAATACCAGAACCACCTGATCTCCTTCTGAAAATGCTGTCTTCTATGTTTTCATAGTAGATTCTGAGATTTTAGAGCAATTGACCTGGAAAAAGTGTGTTAAGAGTAAGCACTTCTTTCTGTGTGAAACATGTTAATTGTCCAGTGTCCATATGTTTGAGTTGTGAGTCATGTTACTTTCATTGTGAAGATTTCAATAAATGAGAGTTTTATCTAGTACATCGTTGGAGTGTGGTCAAACTCTATTTTCTTTACCTGATGCCGCAGTTATGGATCAAACCAGTACTTGTTGATGTCCAGAGGGGCGAATGGTTTACAAACTCACCTGGTGGGGTTCATTTGTTCCTCTGAGAAATACCATAACCACCTGATTTCCTTCTAAAAATGCTGTCTGTCATGTTGACACTGTAGATTCTGAGATTTCAGAGCAGTTACATAGTTAGTCTGGCTGAAAAAAGACAAAAGTCCTTCTAGTTCAACCATTAAAAAAAAAAAAAGTTATAGTCCTATACCCACAGTTGATCCAGAGGAAGGCAAAAAAAAGCAAGCAAAGCATTATCCAATTTGCTCCTACAGGGGAAAAAATTCCTTCCTGATCCCCCAAGATATCTCCTGGATCAACTTTACCTACAAATGTTAGTATCCTGTTATATTATGTGTATCTAGAAAGGAATCCAGGTCTTTTTTAAAGCAATCTACTGAGCTGGCCAGAACCAACTCTTCAGGGAGTCTATTCCACATTTTCACAGCTCTTACTGTGAAGAAACCTTGCCATATTTGCAGATGAAATCTCTTTTCCTCCAGACGTAAAGAGTGCCCTTTTGTCCTCTGTGATGACTTCAGGGTGAATAACTCTACACCGAGTTCACTATATGAACCACTAATGTATTTATACATGTTGATCCTATCCCCCCTTAATCTACTCTTCTCATAAAAGAATAAATGTAATTCCTTTAATCTTTCCTAATAGATGAGATACTCCATGCCTCTTATCATTTTGGTTGCCTTTCTCTGCGTTTTCTCCAGTTGCCCAATATTATTTTTGTGAATTGGTGCCCAAAACTGAACTGCATATTCCACATGAGGTCTTACTAATGATTTGCACAGGGGTAAAATGATATCTCTCTCTCTGGAGTCTATACCTCTTTTAATACAAGAGAGGATTTTGCTCGCTTTAAAAACTGCAGTTTGGCATTGCATGCCATTAGTAAGCTTGTGATATACCAAAACTCCCAGATCCTTCCCCACCATTGATTCACCCAGTTGTACTCCCCCCTGGTATGTATGATGCATTCATATTCTTAGCCCCAAAGTGCATAACTTTATCAACATTAAACCTCAGTTGACCTGGAAAAAGTATTTAGATCATGAGTTCTAACCTCACTTCGTACTTCGTAGTTCCAGGTCAGCAACATTTAGTAGAATGTACTATAGCCAGATATTTTTAGAGGATGATCAGCAACAGCAGCTCCTCTATTTTTCATATGGCAGTTTTTCTCAATGGTCCCCTGCTTTGTGCTGTAGCTTTATCCTCCAGCCTCCACATCATTATTGTGTCTTCTACTGGCTTGGGGGCTGGAGGATGGAACCACAGTCTGCAACTGGGAACTGGGTATCTGGCACAACCACCATAGCTGTCCAAGAGATTGAAGATCAGCAGCAGGAGCAGGTATTATTCCTTCTTTTTGTTACAGGGACGTCTATATTTTAAAACACTTTTATGTAGAAAGAGTTGCTTTAATTCAGGTTGGAGCACCAGAGGTAGAAAGGGCTGTGCTGTCTGTGTAAAATTTATTTTGTAAACAGCAGAGATGTGCAGCTACATGAGTGCTGCAATCATGGCCGTTGATAATGGAGTACCGCCAATCCTCCTGTACTAGTCCCAGGCACTATCAGTTCCACAAGGGGCTTGAGGAGTTGACAAGCGGGGGAAGAGAATTATGGACAGGGATGGTGATTGGTAAGACGAGGGGGAATGGAAGTTACTGCAACCGATCCCCATGTGGCAGCTGAAAGCCACCTTTTCCTTCACTTCCCTCCCACTGGTTTTCAGCTGCTGCAGGGGAAGCCACAGGGGAATCAGTTCCAGTAATTGTGTTCATTCATAACTGAAGCATAGTAAACTGTGTTTAGTACACTTCAGTTTTTGAAAGGAACAAGAAGCCTCTGTACAGAGCACTTTTTGTTCATTCATTTGCAGTGCAGATGCACCTCATTCACAAGACCTCATTCACACTCGCAGCTTTATTTATTAACTAGTTACAATTAGATTTAGCTTCAGTTTGTGATTGAACAAGAAGCCTCTGTACAGAACGCTTCCTGTTCATTCATCTGCAGTGCAGATACACCTCATTCACAAGACCTCATTCACATTTAGAACTATATTTATTAACCACTTGCCCTCCAGATGATCCCCCCCCCCCCCCCCTGACCACGCCATTTTTTGCAATACGGCGCTGCATTACTTTAACTGACAATTGCTCGGTCATGCAATGCTGCACCCAAATTAAATTTACGTCCTTTTTTTCCCAGAAATATAGCTTTCTTTTGGTGGCATTTTATTGCCTCTGTGTTTTTTATTTTTTGCGCTATAAACAAAAAAAGACCGAGAATTTATAAAAAAAAACCTATATTTTTTACTTTTTGCTATTAAACATATCCAGTAAAAAAAAAGTAAAAATCAAATTTCATCATAAATTTAGGCCAAAATGTATTCTGCTACATGTCTTTGCTAGAAAAAATAATCCCAATACGTGTAAATTAATTGGTTTATGTGAACGTTATAGCGTTTACAAATGGTGATATATACTGTATACTGGAATTTAATTTTTTTTTTTTTACTAGTAATGGAGGCGATAGTGGGACTGCGGTGGGCATTCTGACACTGAGGGGAACTGACTTGGTGTCACTGAAATCCCCATTGACACCAATACAGTGATCAGTGCTAATAAAAAGCACTGACACTGTACTAATGGCACTGGGCAGGGGTTAACATCTGGGGCAATCAAAGGAGTAACTGTATGCTGTTTTACTATGGGGGCTGTGTGTGTGCTTTCCACTGTAAGCACACTGCTTTGTATGCTATGCAGAGCCATACAAAGCAGTGTGCTGGAGCTGACAGGGGAGATATCTGTTTTGTTTATACACAGATCTCTCCTCTGTCAGAAACACTCGGCGATTGACAGCCAAGACCGTGAATGTATATATATGTGATTTTGCGCACCCGTGCTGCCCTTTAGCAGTATTTCTGCGCGCCGCAGACGTGGTTAACTAAACACAGTTAGATATAGCAGGAATTTTGTAAGCTGTGTTGTGCTTGTGTCCATTAATACTTTACTTAGTGTATTTTTAGAGAAAATAAAATTTTTATAATTTAGGGAAGGGAGGCGCCCTGTCAGGTAAGCTGTAGAGGGCCTCATGATTTCTATTAGAATTTCAGCCCTGGCTGAAATTACGTTGGAGGCAAAAGGCAGGGGTGAGATGCATCATTGTTTCCTATGAGTTATACTTGTGCATTGTGGCAACAAAAAAGTGCATGTTAAAGTAATGCACCTGCTCTAATGAAACCAACTAAAACAACGTTCCTCCTGCGCTTATTAGGAGTGATCAGTGCAGGGGCGGACTGACAACTCATGGGGCCCCCGAGCAATAGGGGATCATGAGGCCCCTGTGTCCTTGCCCAAACTCAAAAAAAGCCTATGAAAAAGGCACCAGGGGCATCTCATGGGGCCCCTTACTGACCCCGGGCCCTCGGCCAGTGCCCGAGTTTCCAAATGGTCAGTCCGCCCCTGGATCAGTGTATACTTCAGCGGCCAACACTCTATCTACTACCTTCCAAACTTGTGCAAAATAATTATAATAATAGCGCAGCGCTATACCATATAAAATACAATATAATTATTAATACCTAAATAAGTAATAATTGATAACATAAATAAATACATAAATATAATAAACATGCAAAAACAATACTATGGTGATAAGATCCAATGCGGATCTATTTAGTGCCAAACAACTCTATACTGCCCAATAATGTGTTGTGAGGTCCTCTCCAAGGCCTCATAAAGTGCAAACAAACAAATCAACACAAATGACCAGGATAATCCCTACCCAGAAAAAATATAATTCCAATAAACAACCCAAAACCCCTACTAGTGTAAAATATCTGTGATTCCCCTAATAAGGGGGAATAATCGCCTCACACAAAGTGATCAGTGTTTATACAAGCACTCAACAATAAATGACAAAAATAATCAGTGACAGATAAAAATATAAAATAAAAAATCTCTAAATGTCCAAAAAAAATCTCAGATTAATTGTGCTCCAACATATACAAAATTAAATTCCATGCAAGGTGATAAGGTGAACGTGTATTCACACCAACTGTACGAATCCTCAGTGGCTAAAATGCCCCCTCACCTCCTTTCTGCTACCCACTGGGCCACCTCGCTTTCAGGATCACCTCAGGATCCTTCACAGGCAGTATCAGGTTACTGGATGTTATCCAACAGTAATCCCCCTCTCTGGTGGCACTTATGCTTCTCTACGCTTCCTATCCCGATATAAGTATCTGCTAAATTGTATACTCTCCCATCCGGACCATGATTAGAAACAAAAGATCCTCCATAGTGTAGTAGGTTTTAGGAGTATGTGTTTATTTTAATAAAATAAAATGCCCACTCACTTGCAAACAGCAACACAAATGCTTCTGAACCTCATGCCATGGTGTACTGTATGGATTTCAGGAAATGGGTGTGCTAAGATGGCATCTATGCCGGATGTATGTCACCGCGTACCGGAACTACGTCACCGCGCGCCTTGTGCCTTGCTGTGCCATTCATTATGAATTGCACCCAAATGTATTGGACAGTAGAGCACATTACAGCAAAGTACATCTCAATGCATGGTATTCTTTGCTCAAAAGAGGTTTATCTGTGTTCTTTAATGTCATGGTGCATTGACAGCCAATTCATGATGAAGAGGTTGCCTTAAAGCAGTGTGCATTAACGTGCCATGTAATGCGCATTAACGTACCGTAATGGATTGCTAAATTGTGAATCCAACCACAGCCCCAGAAATTAGTACCTTGGTTATCTGGGTGAAGGAGCTAATAACGTAAGAAAGAGCCATCTACACTGAAATCGAAAAGGCAACCTGTACTGATAGAAACGTGAGGTCTCTAGCATCAATAAATCTTAAGCCACTGACCTGTTAAAAAATAATGTAATTACAAATAAGTTAATTTCAGTCACTTGTGTTTACCGATTTCTGCTAGATGGACAAACTTAAAAGCTATAAACAGGAAAAGATCTAGCAATAAATCGTCGAGGCATGTCTTTTGTAGCGACATCTATTTAATATTTAATTTTCAGAGGCAATGAGAGTGTCACTAATCAAACCTGAATAAAAAAAAAAAAGATCAGCATATTAAAGTTTGATTAGCTCTTTACTTGATTCATGGAAATGAGATATTAATCAATGCATGAAGCTTAGCAGAACCACAGTATACCACTTAAACAGAGCACCTGCACAATTTCATTCGTGAGTGGATGAGGTAATAATTAAAATCAAACAAGTTACAGCACTTTGATTAACAGCAAACACATCCTTTCTGAATGTAATCAGGATCTTTATGTTTTAGGGGCTTCTCAAAAAATAACTGGGAGTACTTTTCATAAAATCTATCACTTGTCTCGTCCTCTTCATTCAGCTAGCACAGTACAATCACGTTTCAACTTTTAAAAGTCAGACCACATTTACTTGTTAAAGGGCTCATTATGTATAGGTATGTAAGTGGCCTTAAAGTCTATTTTTTTACCATAATACATTCTCTGAGTTGAAGTAAAAAAAAACCTCCCTACTATATTTTCTACCCCCCCATCTCCACTTTCCTGGCTCTTCTCACCGCTCCAGCGCTGTCCTGGCTGTAGCAGCGTTCCCCTCTCTTCCTATCTCACAGAAGACACTGAAAGCAGTGGAAGCTATAGGTTCCTGCTGCTGTCAGTATAATTATTGTGAGGAGGGAGCAGGGGTGTGGCTTACTGGTGCTTTTTGTGTCTATGGATGCACACAGCCTGACTCAGGAACACATGCACAAATGCCCCCATAGCACTTGGCTTGCTAAGGAGGCTTTGTTTTGCCAGGTTTCCAGTGTTTCAGGATACCGGTTACCTTATCAGTGGGCAAAGGCCTACATTGTCTTTAGCACCAGTTTCTTGCTTGCATTTATCTTTGATATGATATTTGATTTACTTGCTTAAACAACCAGCATTATCTATGTCACTGGTTTCTTCTCCTTTTGGGGACTCAGTTCTATGAAATGTATCAGATTGGTTGTTTCCCTGCTCATTCATCAAAACTGTTAGCACGAGTTTTCTTTTTAGAAAGATACAAAATGCCTTTGCATGAATGTCTCACTTTGGTTAAGCAGTTCCTAAAAGGACTTTATATGCTGCTATTGGATCACAAATTACATTGAACATGTCATCTGTTCTTCTGCATTTAAAACACTTTAGAACTGCTTTCTCACTCTCTTCAGACTGGTTAGTTGAGGTAAGTTGTAAACTTGCTGGACAGAAGTGTTTGCAGAATCGCAATAGCAAGACGAGGGTAGGTGGTTATCATTTCATACTTTAGGCCACAGGTGTCAAACTGGTGGCCCTCCAGCTGCTGCCAAACTACAAGTCCCATGATGCATTGCAAGAATGACAGTTACAAGCATGACTCCCGAAGACAGAGGCATGATGGGACTTGTAGTTTTGCAACAGCTGGAGGGCCGCCAGTTTGAAACCCCTGCCTTAGGCTATTCACATCGCCTAGTAGAGCTACTGCAGCAATTTTAAAGGATGTGTTACACCCATATTCAGGGTGTAACATGTTACGATCTGACTGGTCCTCGCTACTCCCCCCCCGATCCCCACTTTGACAGCTAGCCAGAGATCTCCCCCCTCCCTGGCTAGCTGTCAAATAAAAAAAAAAACATGGCTGTGTCACACTCATCTGTGAATGAGAGACTGCAAGTCCCAACATTCTTAGCGGCTGTCAGCTTGTAGTCCTCAATGAACTACCACGGCACTGTGAGCTCTGTGGTAGTTAATTGATTGCTCCTGTCAGTATATCTACTTGCTCATACATCCCAGGCAAGCAGATATACTGACAGTTGATGGATCTCTTTCATCAGAATCTTAATTTAAATCTGCCTTTAAAATATATTGATGCTGCAGGAAATTCAACTGCTACATTGGGTGTGCATCAGGCCTACATTCAGTGTTTGGGTAGATGGGCGTCCTGCTCTTTATGTCCATCCTGCTGTTTGCATTTATTATGTACACCCTGCCTTTTATAATTTTTGAAAAAAAAAAAAACAAAATTGTATGAATAGTCTGTCATTCATATGTTTTCTGGCTCTGTGGATTAAATTTTTTCTCTTGTTAAAATTCCAGTTCTCTTGCAGGACATATGGGGTATGTATTTGGAATGGCTGCCTGATCATAATCCTTATTTGTTGCAAGTGTGAGCTGTGTCAGATATCCTTGTTGTTCACCTGGGAGGAAATGATTTGGGCGGATTCAAAATCTTACCCTCTAAGTAAAATGATAACTGTTCTGTCGACTAGCAAATGGTTTTCTGGGCCTGGGCTTCTGGCAAAGTTACATTAACCACTTCCAGTCCAGACACTTTTACCCCCTTCCTGTCCCGGCCAATTTTCAGCTTTCAATGCTATCACACTTTGAATGACAATTGCGCGGTCATGCAACACTGTACCCATATGAATTTTTTAGCATTTTTTTGAGACAGATAAAGCTTTATTTCGGTGGTATTTATTCACCACTGGGATTTTTATTTTTTTTTGCTATGTAAAAGAAAATGTCCAAAAATTTTGAAAAAAAGTGTTTTTCTTATAAAATTTTGCAAATAAATAGTATTTCATCATATAAATCTTGGCCAAAATTTATTCCATTATCTTTTTAGTAAAACCAAACCAAAAATTATAATTTTTAAACTTTTTTTTACTTTTTTTTAATTTTATATTATCATTTATGGTTTTATTTTTTTTTTACATACTGTCACCCTAGCAGTACAGTGTCACCATGGTGACACTGTA